ACAGACTTTGCAGAGGTGTCTGCAAAGGTGTCTGGAATATGTGTCCTCTTCTGAGGCACCAAAACCTTCTGGAATGATTGTCTCCTCAATTTCATCTGAGCTGCGTGAAGTCTCAGTATCCCATGCAAAGGACATAGACCAAGATAATTTTGACTGTCCATCTGCAGACACAGACTTTGCAGAGGTGTCAATCTCATAATTTAGGTCACACAACACTTGGGTGTTGTGAATAGAGCCAAAATGTTGGGTTGTGCACAATCTCTTCAGTGTCTGTGGCATTGGTGGATTGGGCTGTATCTTCTGAGTCAGACTCATTGTCTGTACTAGTGGTGATCTCAGTCTCGCTTTCTGGGGTTGACCCAGTCTCTGTAGGGATGCTGGTCTCTATCCCATTTTTTAGTTCAGCCACAGTCTCTATTGCTCTGGTGAAGTCCATTTCACTTGCTGAAACATAGGCACTGCCTGAGCTGGGGACACTCACTGTTGTGGACCCATCTGTCGGGGTGGGCACAGTTTCCACAGCGTCTTTGATATTGGTGGATTGGATCTCGCTTTTTTGTTCTGACTCATTTTCTGTAGTCGTGATCTCAATTCTGCTTTCTGGAAATGGCACAGTCTCTGCAGGGATGCTGATCTGTAGCCCATATTTTGGTGTAGCCATTGCCTTTACAGTTGTGGTGAACTCAGACTCCTCTGAGAAAACATAGATACTGTCTGAGCTGCTTGTGCTCTCCTTTTTGGGAGCAATGTCTTTGCCATCGGTAGTCTTCGTAGGGATCACATTTATTTCTGGAGGAAAAAAATAATTGATTACCTTCCTTGCATATATTTGTTTTTTTAGACTATCAACTAGTACAAAAATAATGAAACAAATCACAAGACTGGCTGAACAGAAATAAAACCCAATTGTCTGGCTGCCAATTTTACAGTCAGTTTCTATGTTTTGCTTGTAAAGTGAATGTATAGCCAAAACTAGAATAGAAAAGGCTTAAAACCTATGAGGTTATTTTTTTTTGCCCTCTGGGTCCCACTGGGGAAATTTCACTTCTCTTCCCGTCCTGGTGATGCAACGAGAAGTGAGAGGAAATACCTACAAAGTGAGGAGAAATTGCCCTCCTGTGGAGTTCTTGCAGGGACAGGTGTCCCTACTGGAAGTCCTACCCTGATCCCCAGTCCGAGTGACAAATCCAAAATTTTGGATCACACCTCACTTCCTGTGACAATGGTTATCAGGGCAAATTACTGGGTGAAATTCACAGAAATCATTCTTTAACAGGGCTTCTAACCCATCGCCACTCTTTTAAAAAAAAACAAAAAAAAAAAGTTTTGTCTCCAAATAAGACTAAACCTGCCCAATCCAACAATGCTACATGTACTAGAACAGAACTTCAAATAGGGAAGGCAGCAGATGTGACCCTGTCAGTCACCCCTTCTGTGCAGCCTTTCCCTCATTTTGACAGACACCCTTGCCTAAAGCCTACTGGCAAAATATACAGTGGACAGATGAAACCAAGATTGATTTGAACTTTCAGCCGGTGTGCAGAGGATGCTGTGTGTTTGATGTTAAGACAGTATACAAATATGGAGATATGGATTTTTTTTTTTTCTTGAAGTATTTGTCATGTGAAAAAAAAACTGTTTTAAAAATTGCAGGGAAAATGTGCTTCCAGCTGTCATGTCACATGTGCAGGTTTTATATTTAAAGGAAGGCTGTGATTGGTTGCTGCTGAAAAGAGCAGCTGAGCTCTAGCACCTGCATAACCCAGAGCAATGCTTACATTTCTGCTATGTTGGGAGCCACCCTCCCTTTCTAATAGACAAATATAGGGGTGAGACCATATGACAGGGCTTCTAACCCCTGCACACCACTCTTTCTCCCTAACCTCTTTCCCTCTGCCCTATAGCAGAAGTACTGCTACAGGGTGGCAGGGCTGCTCAAAATCACGTGTATGTGTGTGTATGTCATATATATATATGCCCAACACACACACACACACACATATATATATATATACATATACAGACACACGTGATTTCCATTTCCGGGTAGGAGGCGCATGCGTGCACCGCCCTACTCGTGCTGCTTTGGGCAGCTAGGGATGTTAATCACCAAATCCCGCCCGGCACTCGGCGATCGCCGGGGTAAAGCTGAGAGAGGAGAGACCTACTGTATGTGTAAGCAACACGTCTCTCTCCTGTCAGCATGGACCTGCTGTTTTGTATCTCTCTGCACAGCATGTCTCTGTAGTAAAATACAGCACACAGTAAAACACACAGCACACAGTTAACCTTTTGTTCGCCCTAAATGTTAACCCCTTCCTGCCCAGTGTCATTAGTACAGTGCCAGTGCTTTTTATTAGCACTGATCACTTGTATTAGTGTCACTGGGGATGTCAGTGGCAGTCAGTCAGTTCCCCCCCAGTGTCAAAATGCCCGATGCAGTCCTGCTATAAGTCGCTGATCGCCGCCATTACAAGTATAAAAAAAATAAAAACTCCAGTATATATACCGCCATTTGTAGACACTATAAATTCATATAAACCACTTAATTTACACATATTGGGATTTTTTTTTAGCAAAGACACGTAACAGAATACATTTTGGCCTAAATTTATGAATAAATTTGATTTTTAAAATTTTGTTATTGGATATGTTTTATAGCAAAAAGTCAAAAATATATATATTTTTTTTTTCAAAATTGTCAGCCTCTTTTTGTTTATAACAGAGGCAATCAAATACCACCGAAAGAAAGCTCTATTTGTGAGAAAAAAAAATGACAGAAATTTCATTTATGTACAGCGTTGCATGACTGCGCAGTTGTCAGTTAAAGTAATGCAGCGCCGTAACGCAAAAAAATGTCCTGGTCAGGAAGTGGGGTAAATCTTCTGGAGGGCATGGGGTTAACAAAAAATAATTACATTTTGCCTATAGGTGCACTTCAACCACTTGAGTATGAGCTGGTAATCCCCCTTCATTGCCATTTTCAGTGATAGTGTGACCGATAATTACATCATACAACACTGCACACAGATTAATCTGATATTTTGGATACACAGTGAGGGGGCGGAGTATAAGCCTCTGGCTGCCAATGGTAATAAGGGGCTATAATTAGGGGTGGGATATATGAGCTACTGTTCACCAATAGGAAGATCCAATGTAACTCCTCTAAATAAAATTGATCTTGTTCAGCCAGTTTGTATATTGTATGAATCATAAATTTTACCTTCTGGACCCCTAACTATTTTGTATTTCTTTTTACCATGACGGAAAAGAGCCCCAACCTGGCCAAAAAATGGCCAACGTTTGCCCTTAGGGGTGGGATTCTGATGGGCAGGCTGGGCAGAATCTCTGCTGGGGTGGAGCTTAATTTCCATGGCTTGTCTGTTTTCTTCAGGTTCCTTTCTACTTGTCCAGGGACTAAATCGCTGCTCCAATCTGCTTGTCCCTCATGACAATCTACTTGTCCTGATAAGAAAAAAAAATAAATTTTAACCAAAACCGTATTTAAATCTGAGGTGCTGTTAGGAATGTCTGGGGCTTTTAAAAACAAAAGGGGCTCTATGGGAACTTAAACGGTTAATGTTTTTAACATTGCCCCGCTTTATCTCCTCCTCCCCTCCCTGCCTGGCTCCAGCACCGCACCCCGGTGGCTAGCAGGGAGGGGAGAGACCTTGCAGTGTAATGAGCACCGATTGGCTGCTTGTCAGGAAAGGGGAGTGTCGGGCTTATCCTTTAATCCTTTTGCTGCCAGAGCCGGTTTTGCGTTTTTTGCACACGTTTAAAAAATAATTTCAGGCTTGAAGATTACACAAAACCCCCAAACATGATATATTTTTTGAAATCAGAGACCCTAGAGAATAAAATAGCGGTAAGTCCAATTTTTTTTTTAAATTCTGTCTCTCAGAGTGGGAATGCACCTACAATGTGAATTTCAGACCCCTCCATGATTTCTAAGTGGGAGAACTTGCAAAATCGCAGGGTGTTCAAATACTTCTGTTCCTCACTGTATCTCTTGTTTGTAGCCTTTGATTGGCTATCGCAGTGATCAGTCACTGTACAGCCTGCCTATGTGCTTTTTTTTATCCTCTTGAGTGGAGAAAAAGATACATAGGAGGTGATTTACTATATAACTGGAGCACTCAAAATCTGGTGCAGCTGTGCATGGGAGCCAATCAACTTCTAACTTCAGCTTGTTCAATTAAGCTTTGGTAATAAAACCTGGAAGCTGATTGGTTTCTGTGCAGAGCTGCACCAGATTCTGCACTTTCCAGTTTTAGTAAATCAACCCCCAAAGTGTGTGTAAAAATGCAGCACTAAATCATGACCGATATCTAGAACAATATATGTGCAAAACAATGTGCATAGAAGTTAACCATTTCCACTTTTTTCAGTTCTCAGCGCTCTCACACTTTGAATGACAATTGCGCGGTCATACAACATTGTACCCAAGGTGCATTACCATGGTATAACACGTAATTTATTAAATAAAAAAGGATGTATACTCACAAACCAACGGTATTAGACACAGTTGCATTGTGACTGTTTTTGTGGATCTCCTATACTGCCTATAATCACGTTGGTTTGTGAGTATACATCCTTTTTTATTTAATAAATTACGTGTTATACCATAGTAATGCACAATGAGAGTGCGCCCTTGTTTGTTTTTATTCACCAGTGGTCAGATTTCCCGATCTCACAAGGGCAGCACCTCTTCGGTTGGCATTTTGGCAATTCCTTAGTTTGCATGAAGATTGGAGCGCTGGTTTCGTTTGCTTATCTCTTGGAGAACATTGTACCCAAACTAAAATTTTATCATTTTCTTCACACAACTAGAGCTTTATTTTGGTGGTATTTAATCACCGCTGGGATTTTTATTCTTTGCTAAATTAACAAAAAAAGACCAAAAATTTTGAAAACAAAACACGTTTTTCTTTGTTTCTGTTATAAAAGTTTGCAAATAAATAATTGTTCTTCATAAATTTAGGCCAAGATGTATTCTGCTACATGTCTTTGGTGAAAATAACCCAAATTAGGATGTATTTTTTTTAGTTTGTAGGAAAGTTATAGAGTTCACAAACTATGGGATATATTTGAAAATTGATCAATCCTGAAGTACTGACGGCCAATCTAATTTCTTGAGGTCCAAGAATGTCAGAACAGTACAGATATCCCCCAAATGACCCCTTTTTGCAGAGTAGACAGTTCAATGTACTTCATAAGAGGCATGGCGAGTTTTTTGAAGTTGTATTTTTTTTGTCAGAATTTTTCGGAAAATGAAAAAATTAAAAAAATTATTTTCACTTTTTTTTTTTACATACTGTCACCAGTGCAGTACAGCATCATCATATAACTGGCATGGCAATGATCAGGGACACTGACTGGTGACAGTATGAAAGAAAAAAAAATTTAAAAAATTTTATTATTTTTATTTTTTATTACATTTTTTTTCTTTTTTTTAAGATTTTGTTTCATAATTCACTATGACCAAAGTAGTACAATGTTACCATAGTAACATTGTACTACTTTGGGGAAGTGATCAGTATTTTTTTTTTTTTACACAATGTGCTTATAGCAAAGAAATACTTTGCTATAAGCAAGCATTTACCTGAATGACATCGATTCATTCAGGGCTTTTTTTTTTTTTTTTTGTGCTTAGCTGTGATTTGGCCACGGCTAATCACATGACACAGCTGGGCTGTGATTGACCCAGCTTGTGCATGTGATCGCTGTGACCATTCATAGCTAGGCACACTATGCTTTGTTTTAATGTACCTTGTTCCTGTCGGGATTTTATGAATTTGTATGAAAAGGGATTCAAGTGGGATGTACGTTTTACTGCCATTCTGGAATGCTTTTCATGTCCAGTGACTGACTGATTTATAGCTTTACGACCAGGCCAAGGCAAGAGTCTGACAGACATCATGGGGTTTATTTACTAAAGCTGGAGAGTGAAAAATCAGACTCACTTCTGCATAGAAACCAATCAGCTTCCAGGTTTCATTGCCAAAGCTTCATTGAACAAGCTGAGGTTAAAAGCTGATTGGTTTCTATGCAGAAGGGAGTCTGATTTTGGACTCTCCAGCTTTAGTAAATAAACCCCCATGGGACCAGCTAATTGGGTTTACAACCATGAAGTGTAGCCAGCTGTGCCTGATGCACTTGTGACCCCAGCATACACACACCATATGCCATTCAAAAAAGGTAGGGGGAAGACTGAACGGAGTGAGAATGACATTTGCAGAGTATGATACAAGATGGTAGATCTTAACAAAATGGTTGTCCTTGTCCAATCGCCACACCCCCTATCTACCCTAAGCTTTAGGAGTTTCTCCAGCTTGTTCTATTAAGCTTTGGCAATAAAACCTGGAAGCTAATTGACTTCTATGCAGAACTGCACCAGATTTTGCACTCTTCAGTTTCTCCCCCAAATCTCCCCCAAAGTGTTTTTCTTTTTTCTCTCATCTCTTTACTACCCTCTTTTACACCCTTCTTCCCCTCAATCCATCTCGCCCCCCCCCCCTTTTTTTTTTACTTCTATCTTCTCTTTTTGTTAGTGGCCTTCCTTTCTATCCCCTTACTTTCAAAGATCAATGCCCACTATGGCAATACTTTGAAATTTGACACTATCTAAACCACCCACTTAATCAGAAGGTCTTTAGTATGTTTTTTACGGCCTTTAACATACTGTATGACAGAAAATCCTTAAGGGCGCTTAGTCTTCATATTATATAACGTCCTTGCTCCTGTGACCGAGGGGCATTGGCTCACATGTGGGAACAGGATCTGGGGTTGAACTCTCCACAGAAGATCAGAAGGTGATTCATAACACTATTCATGAAAGCTCTTTGAATGTTTCTGTTCAAAAACAAAACTACAAACTGCATATGAGATGATACAGATCGCCCTCAACTCTTCATAAAATATATCCCCAGGTCTCAGACCATTACTGGTGCTGTGGTGATGAAGAAGGCACTCAGCTTCCCCTCTGGTGGTTTTGCCTCAACCTTCAGCCTTATTGGTCACAGGTCCATGATGTTGTCACCAAAGTAACGAGTTATTCTATAGATTTTTCACCAATACAATATTTACTCCACCATTCCACAGTCATACAGGAAATCCTTGACGATGCAGCAGGAATGTGCATCTCGGTGTATTGGAACCAACAACACTGCCCGACTCTTGAGTGCTGGGTTAGGAGATTAAGGAAACAATTGACATGAGGAGATTATTTACAGATCACAAGACTGTAGCCGTATGATGTACGGAACTGGCGGTGAAAGTCTTAAAAACTGCATTTTGCATTTACTTGGGTTATCTTTGTGAAATATTAAAATTTATTTGATGACCCGACTTATTTAAGTGTGACAAAAGAAGGCGGCAAATACTTTTTCACATCACTGTATACAGTATGTGAAAAGAAAAGCACACTCTTTTTCTACTACTCCCTCTTTTCTTCCACCTACCCCCCTTCTTTTCCCTGTCTACTGATCCCTTCCACTTCTCCCCCAACTGCCCCCCCCCCCTTTTTTTTCCTCCCATGTTGCGATGCCAGAAGGTAATCCTGCAAGTGCCTCATTCTCATATGCAAGCATTGCAGAGGAGTAATGCCTTGATGTGTCCACAGAGCTCTGTCTGGCCTTTAGCGACTCTGTCGGCCCTGGCTGCCCTACTGTTATCTATTACTCTTGATGCCTGCAAGGGAATGCCCCTGCCCCCCCCCCCCTTCTTCTTTTTTTTTTAATTTATTCTCTATCCCTGATTTTCTTTTTCTTTTTATTGTATTTCACTGTGTGTTCCATTTTTGTTAACATGTAAACTCTAATAAAATCTTATGGAATCAGAAAAGAAAAGCACATTGGTAAACCTCATATACAATAATAACTGATACCTTCAATTCCAATTAGCATGAGAAACATTCCCTCACTTAAAAATGTTATGGCCAGCTATTTGCAGACCAACTTTGTGATTTTTGGTTTTGTCCTACAAATCAGGAAATAGTACTAAGATTATTTGTAAAAAAAACAGCTCACTGATGGTGGTTGTTATCTATTTTATTGATAAATACATTTAGTTACTTTAATATTGTGAAAAAAAAATAAATATTTATTTAGAAAAGGGCTGAAAAGTCTACAAATATATTGTACCGTCAAAGAATATTTTTTAAAAACATTTTAAGAACTCCATAAAGGTGCACCTGGGAGGAGCTGAGTATATGATGGGAGATGTGTTTAGCTGTGTGTCCCAATGCGTTGCCACCAGATTCCATTTTACGACCTTTAGATTGCAGCTGCTGGTTGGGGACACAAAGATAAGCACGATAAACACATTCTGCCTCCTTCCCAGAATAAAGAGCTGGACTTGGTAGAGTTCTTGTTTAAAGAACACCCAGAAAAATCAAACCACATTGGGGGAAAAGTTAATATGTTTAAATAAGCAGTATTGGGTTTATTTTCTTGGTTTTGAGTAAGTCTGAACAGCAATGGTTAGCTGCAGTGTCATTAAAGAGCAAGATAGGCAAGTGTGTCCCATCCATTGTCCAATTCATGAGATACAAGTACATTGTGAATGTTTTATCCTTTTCAAACAGCATAATTATCCTAGCTGTGTTATAGTTGGAAGCTCTGATTAAATTTGAACTCCAGCCAAACATTTTTTTTTTTTAGCTCTGGGGCGAGTGGAGAGGAGTTTTTAATATGGTCTGTAATTCAACAAACTAACCTTCTTCTCACCTTGTATCCTGCAGACCACTGTAACCAAGAGCAAAAAGAGAGGTAGCATCTAAAACTTTCCAGAAGTCAATGGCACAGTAGATAGAAACGTAGAAACCTGTCTGGTGACAGTTGTCAGATTTGGGGTTGCCACTGGAAACCTCCACCATGGGGACACAGATATCAAAGATCCAGCAGGTCCTAAACCTTTTTTGTTCTATCCAAAACTAAAAAAATGTAATGTTTTGTTGGGAGTTTCACCATCACTGATGACCATGGAGCTGTGGGTTTATATCCCAAAATAACCAATTTTGGTGAAGCCTTGGTATATCTGATACAGAATTAAGATCTGTGTTAGCAGCTACTTAATGATGTAGTTCTCACTGGAGCACTTGACCCCTGGCAATGGGTCGCCCACTGCGAAGCTTTACCTGGAGCCAGGACAATACCAATTATGGTTTTAAAGAGCTTTTATCTTGGGGAAGATGTTAAATTGGGCAGCTGTGCTAGCTAGTTAGGCATAGACTTCTGTTATATGAGTGTTTTACAGCTGGACTGGATTCTCGAATGGTCAGTAAAGTTCAACGGTTTCATGCCTGGTTTGAAGTTACTACAAAGGGGTACATGGTGTGTCCAGAAGCACAGAGCCTGTTAAACACACATGGGGGTGAAGAGGCAGGAATTGAGGACCACCACATGGGTTTTACCCAGCAGTAGAGTTGGCAGGAAGTCATGTAGCTGCTATGGGTGAGCAGGACTGGTAGCAAAGAAATAACAGCCAGACCAAAGGAAAGTGGTACTGTACTGGTTAGCGAGGCCTGAACTGAACCCGAGGAGCTGAATCTGTGGTACAGAGACCCCATGGACCTTGCCCCAGGTACAGGAGACACAAAGGAGTTAATTAGTGCAGGCACAGAGGTCCGTGCTTAGTGCATGGTGAGACCCCCTACTCTATCACTGGGAGTTAGGTGACAGGAAAGCTGGATTGGTGGAGCGGGACACAGGCTCAGCTGTGTCTCCCTTAAAATGCTGCATTCTGGAGGGCAAGGATGTACAGTGTCACAGGAACAGTGCTTGCAGAGAAGTGCTTAGTGTTTTACAGTGGAACTAGGCAAGGTGAACAGCTTACCTCTAAGTACAGAGTGTCGCCTTAATGTTGAGTTCATTCGTGAGCGTGTTTGCAAGAAGAGTCCCCCATATGTAGGGCGAAGTGCCCCCCATCTGCATTGCATATAGGATAGAGCTGGACTTTTACATAAAGCTAACTTAACAGTCTAACCAGGAAAGATTAAGAGATATAGAATTCATTAATTCTATTCAACCCTTTCCTGCAAATAATGCTACTGCAGGCTAAAGGACTGGCTGATCTTCCGCTGCCATGACTAAGAGTCTGGGCCTTCAGACATATGGCTAGTACTGGTGAGAACCTGAAGCAGCATTATTGCCCTATAACAGAAGTACAAACAAATTCTAAATGAGCTAACCAAAATGTTTAAACGCATAGTTCCAGACCTGGACCCCTAACCAAATGAGCTTTAACCTTAACA